ATGGATATGTGCCCCTTGAGTGTTCAGGGAGGGCTCCAGATGTGAACTCAGAGAGTTCTGTGTTGGTAAGCCTTGCAGTGTGTTGTGTTACCTGGCATCACTGTCCAGCCCCTAAGTCTTTACTTGTATCTTCAAACTGTTTCAATGTCTTACTATGAGCATATGTTTCTATGATTTATTTCCTTCTATTTTCAAAGCATATTTATTTATTTATTTTGTAAGAGAAAAAGAGAGCCAAAGAGGCATCCCCAGTAAGGTCTTCATAGCCAGAATCCTACCCCAGCCTCAGCCAGCCAGGATCATGGGTGTGTGCTCTCGGTGTACACAAGGAGACCTTGGGACATGATCCTGGGACCTTCCCAAATGGCCTCAGCCTCACAGAGCATTCTGTTACCACTGTGCCACTGTGACTGGCCCAGTTTTATATTTCAAAGTCACCTTGTCTTATACTCTGACTGCTGAAGCAAATCCAGTAAGTGGTCACCCTGGCTATCCTTGAACACTTCCAGTGACTGAGAACTCACTACCTCTTAAACTGCCAAACAGTGTTTTGATGAAAAACCTCAGATGATAATTAATTCCTATTAAGAACTGAGCTAAATATCCAGAGGGCTGGATCTGTCAATCATATCTGCAGGATTCTAGGGTTGGACAGCACATAATCTTGGCAGATAGTTGTTGTTGTTATTATTATTTTAATCTTATCCATGATAGAGTGCATGGGCATGCATGAGAGAAAGAAGAGAGAGACTCACCACAGGGTCTGGTCATGCTGCAATCCCCTTCCTTCAGTCTTCCAGCCTGTTGTCTCCTAGGCACTTGTGCGTGTGTCCAGAGCATTTCAAGATGACCTGGCCAGGAATTTGAATTCTGGTCAGGTTCCAGAATTCATGTAGGCTCATCATGTAGGTTCCAGCTTCTCTTGAGCAGTGTATCACCACTCTGTCATGGAGCTGGCCCCATTATTGGTTTTTAAAATTTATTTATTTATTTATTTTTAAGTTTTTGCTATAGGGCATGTGTGCTCACCAGAGAAAGAGAGAGAGAAATCACCTCCCCAGAGAGGACACCCACACCTCAGTCCCTTCTCTTCCATTCTCCTCTCTGAATTTTGGGCACACATACACATGCGCCCACTATGATTTTCAAGTCACTGGGTTTGAGACTCCAACCACGCAGTTGGCCATGTGGGATTCAGATGCCTTAACCTGTGTCACCCGCTGACCCCACTATTGACATTTTTTGAATTAAAAAATTATTTTTTGTCTGACTCTCATGCTGTCTTATAAAAATTATTTTTGAACATATGAACAGAAACTAATTGTGAAATGTGCCTTCTGCCAAGAGACTTTAAGATACTGAAAGAAGAGAATAAAAGACTTTTCAGGAAGTTGTTTTGAGAATTTTAAGAGTACATGTAACAAAAGAGCCTTGTTTTCATGGAACCTGATATCTAGATGGGGTTAGGAAAGGTAAAATGCACACACAAAATTAGCGCACATGAATACAAGCACTGTTACAGAGGAAAGAAAAACTAGTGAAGTGTTCAAATTGAGAGTGATAGTGTTGGCTGAATTCATGGGGAACTCTTAGGTGGAGGAAATGGAATTTGATATGGGTTCTGAGAAATGGGGGGTGGGGTAGGTGGGAGGGATTATAGTACATCTGTACATACAACTGATAAGAATAGGAGAGGGGCTGGCAGGTCACATGGTAGTTAAGGTGCTGGATCCCAAATGGCCGACTCCATGGTCTGAGTCTCAGACCCAGGGGCCTGAAAAATATGCAAAATGCATGCGCTTGCATGTTCAAAATCCCAAGAGAGGGGACTGAAGTGTGGACATCCACCATGAGCAGTGATTTCTCACTTTTCCTCTCTCCAGTGAATGCATGCATCCTATGGCAAAAAGAAATATGAAAAAAAGAAAAAAATAAGGAAAAGATGTCTAGTATGTATCATTCAGCACGTAAGACAAGCTGTAGAACATTATATAATATACATATCATCTTATTTACATATAATGATTTATTTGTGTGAAAGAAAATATTTAAATTTTTTTTATTAAAGAATTATTTTTATTTAATTTGATTTATTATTGTTCTTTTTAAAATTTGGCCAGAGAGAGAAAGTGAGAAAGCAAACTGCCAGGTCTGGGCATTGAACCATGGCCAGCCATGTGGGAGTCCAGCCCCCTAACTACCATGCCTCCTGCTGGCCCTGAAAGAAAATATTTTAAATATTCTAGTAAATGCTTAAGTTCTAAAAGAATGCCCAAGAAGCTAGGGGCCATTAAATTTCTACTTTTGGGACCAGCAGTTAGCTTAATGGCTATGTCGCTGGACTCCCATGTGGTCGACCGCAGTTCACGTCCTGGACCCGGTGGCTTAAACTCTCGCCGGGTGCGTGTGCATGTGTGCCCAAGATCCTGAGAGGAGAATGGAGAAGAAGGGATTGTGGCGTGACCATCCCCCCTGGGGGGTGATTTCTCCCTTTCTATCTCTCCGTCTCCGTCTGTCTGGCGAGCGCATGCGCCCTATAGCAAAAATCTCTCCAAAAACAAACAAAATTTCTACTTTTATCTTCAAACTGTTTGATTATATTACTATGAGCATGTGTTTTTATAATTGATTTTATTTTATAAATAAAATAAAGCACTGGGGAGCATTTGGTGGTAGAGGAAATGACTTGAGCAGAGCTGGAAACCCACTGAAATAAGGACCGTGAGCAACCCATCTGGGTGGATGGAAGGTGTTTGGGAGAACCCTCTGTCCTTGTTGAGGATGATGCCCAGGGGGAGAACCAATTCCTTCCTGCATGTCCTTGGAGCCTTGTTGCACCTGTGGCCAGTCAAGATGACACACCTGTAAGTGTATATTTCCCAAAGATCCCTTTCCCCACAAGAGCTCTACAAAACCAATAAAGTTTTGATTTTTTTTTTTTTTTTTAGTTTGCTATAGGGCACATGTACTTGCCAGTGAGGGGGAGAGAGAGAGAGAAAGAGAGAGAATAAGAGAGCCCCTCCCCTCCCCGGGGGATGGCCATGCCACAATCCCTTCTCCATTTTCCTCTTGGGATTTTGGGTACCCACACACATGTGCCAGGCATGTTTTTCAAGCTGCCAGGTCTGGGACTGGAACATGCAGGATCTAGTTGCCTTAACCACCACACCACTGACTGGCTTTTGATTTCTTTAGTGCGTGAAATACAGAAAGTAAAGGACTATTTTGATATATTTTTTGTATTTATTTATTTGTTTTTTTAAAAAACATTTTTACTTGTTTATATATCAAAAATGAAAAAACACTTAGTTCAACACAATGTCAAGAGCATTTGATCCCACATTTGGGGACCCCTATGGTTATTGCGTGTGGCTGTCACTGTTCAGTGCATAATGGAAAAAGAAGAAAACAAAATTCTCCCCCAAATCCGAAGAACAAAGAATGAGGATTTTTCAGGGAACTGCATGGTGGAATGATTAGGCTTCTATTAAATTACATTCATTTCACATCTATGTGCAGTTCTTCAATAAATTGGTCGTCAGTGCATACCCCCTTAGCTGGTAGATTTTCAAAAAGATGATCAAACTAAGGTAGTTGAATCCATGCTCATTGTTTCTTTTCACCTCCCATCCCTGCTCCCCACCCCTCACGTGTCCACTGCTCACACACAGCAGCCGGAAATGACACACTGAAGTGAGTCACTAATGCGGCTGTGAGTCACTCTGTAATGGGGAAAGTTCTGTCCTGGTAGGTCATGCAGCCCCTTGTATTTCTGCTCTTAAATATACTGGAAAAAAACTAAACCATTCTGTCCTCACTCTAGTCTCTCACCCACCCCCACCTTTTTAGTCCCTAAAGTGGGTTGAAGTTGGATCAGTTTGGCAGGGGCCCTAATCCATCAAGTGGAAGGCAGAGAAAAGAAACGACTGGGTTCAGGCAGCCACAAGGTGGCAGTGCCAGCCCCAGCATGCTGGACACTCAGCGGGTTATGACAGTGAAGAGGCCACTCCTGAGATGCAATGACACAGACCACAAAGAAATGCCATGAGCAAGTTTAAATAATACTTTTTTCCTTAATACTACTCTTTCTCTTCAACAAGTACACAAAGGCTAGGCTGTGATAAATATTCAAGCATACCCCTAGCATCCCACCCTCCTTGCCAGGAGGGTGGAAGCAAAGAACCAGGCACACATCTGACCTTTCTTCCTCTATTCCTGCAAAAGAAAGTTTGTGAGAAGCAAAAACCTGCTTCTACAAGTAAACAATTCACCTACACTCCAAGATAATACATGCACGCTATTTCTGGAGGCCGGGGGGGAGGTGGCCGGGCCAGGTGGGCCTCCGCATTGGGTGGGCCTTTACTCTGCCAGTCCACAGCACCTTCGAGTTCGCAAAGGGGGTTCAGTGCTAGAAGAGAACTCGAGATGAAAGGGTGCTTTCATCATCTGCTTGCTGCCTCTGGCCAGTTGCCAGCCTCCTTGACAGTGGCAGGCAGTGCGAGAATGACAGCAACATGACCGGAACACAAGTCATTTTGACCAAGCACAATGAGATCCAGGTGTGAAAGAGCCACGTGGGCAGAGATGGCAGGAGCTGCTGCACCAACAGTCCTGCCAGTTTTACAGTCTGGTTTGGAGACCTTCGGTGGGTTGTGCTTCAGGGTCCTCTCCCAGGCCCTCTAACCAGGGAGCTGGACTCCAGGGTTCTCTTTCCCACTCCAGGGAGAGGCTGAAGTCTAGGAGGCAGATTGGGAAAATTTACCTTTTTTTTAAAAAAAAAAAAAAAAAAAAAAG